TGACAGTGTCATTCAGCTCAATCATGTGCTTCTTGAGTTGCCAGAAGGTGTTGGTGAATACGATGGGATAGTACCAGGTGTTCTGCCCACTTGCATCTCGTGCGCCGGTAGCCTCGAGTGTGATGAATCGCCTGGGACCGGGATGCATGGCGGCATACTGTAAAGTACCCGCGTCGGGAATCAGGGAGACGGTGAAGTTGGGATGGTAGTAGGAGGATACAATCTTTGGCGCATTCTTCTCCTCCTCGGTTTCCACCTCGGCTCTTTCTGGCATATCGCTCAGCAAGTTTCTCGTCTTCGCGATCTTCTTCTTGGGCTGGTATTGGGACAATGGGCGGATGAAGTGGTAAGCCTTGCTGTGGTCGTAGCCGGGCTGCGTGGGATCGAGCACGCTGCCACTCTGCGCAACGTAGAAGTGAGCAAGCAGAGTAGCATTATGCTGTACTTCGCTTGGGACCTTGAACTCGGTATGGATTTCTCTGTTCTCCTTGTAGTCTCCAAACTTGAAGTTCTTCTCCTCGATCAACAGCGAGTCCTTAGGCATCGATTTGAGCGGGGGCATGGCGACGGACGAGGAGATGTACATGGCAATGTCCATCTCAGTGCCAGCAGGCCACATGGGCGCGACAGCATATGGAATATGGCTGTATTGAGCACCAGGATCAAGGGATTGTGGGCGCTGCTCCCATGCGGGAATCACGACATTGCCAGCTGGTTTGACGGCGGCGACGGAGCCAGTTTGCGCGGGATCGTTGACGGCGGGGGCGGGTTTGGCAGTCTGGGGCATGAAGTACTTCATGCCACCCTGGATAAGTAGGAACAGGCCAACGCTCTGTACAATGGACTTGACGAGCTATAATGGAGCCGTTAGCTATCATCTCGGAGCGGAGGGGTCTTGTTTGCGACTTACACTCTTGCCCTCCTCGGGCGGCGCGGCGGCTGCTTGTGCCTCTGGCATGATGGCAACGTGCGGAACCTGAATTCCGGCTTGAGCAGCTTGTTAGGTGGAGAAGGAAGATGGACTCGCGATGGAGTCTGAACACATAATCTGGAGACTTTCCGAGGAATTGGCGGTTCCGCCGAGGGCCCGTGCCTGTCCCGCGTCAGGGTCTAGCCACATGGGCCTCGAGTTCCCGGCCCAGGTGGCGGTGACCTCATGCACCTCACCGAAATGCATACCCTTTGGAGCTTACCCTTCACCAAGGGATTGCAGCTATGGATTGATGAGAATGCTGCGCAAAAGGTGCTGCCTAATATCATCTTGACGACCTTATAATGGGGCTACCGCTGCCTTAACCCCTCCTCCGTTGGAGAGGCTCCTCTCAAGCTTCTGTCGCCGCCCCTCCTCAACACGTCAATTGCATTTGACAGCCCGCGTTCCGACTCTAGTTCCCTCGTTCCGAGCATCTCTATCAACCATCCGAACAACCATGGCGGACAACAACGCAACAGCTAGCAATGGCTCTGCCAAGCAGCCCGTGGTTGCCGTATTGTATGTAGACAGGACGTCAACTGATTGATGGAGCGAATAGCTAACTGTGATACAGCTGCGGCGCTTCCAGTGGCACATCGCCAGTCCACATGGAGGCAGCGAGGCAACTTGCGCATGCTCTCCACAGGGCCAACACCAAGGTCGTGTACGGCGGCGGCACTGTCGGCCTCATGGGCGAGGTAGCACGAACCCTCGTCTCGCTGTCGGGCCCCGACTCGGTCCACGGCATCATCCCCGGCGCCCTCACTCAACTCGAGCAGCACAACGATCTTGCCAACCCTAACGGCCACTCTATCGACGCAGAAAAATACGGACGCACTACTGTCGTCAAGGACATGCACACCCGAAAGCAGATGATGGCCCAGGAAGTTGTCAAGGGTGGACCAGGCGGCGGCTTCGTTGCTCTGCCTGGCGGCTACGGAACGTTCGAAGAGCTGATGGAAATCACCACCTGGAACCAGCTGGGCATCCACGACATGCCTGTCATCGTGTACAACGTGGACGGCTATTGGAGTGGTCTCATTGAGTGGGTCAAGAATGCTGTGACCAGCGGTTTCGTTGCGCCCACCAACGCTGGCATCATCTCTGAGGCTCTTAGCGCCGACGAAGTGATAACACATCTGAAGGAGTATCAGAGTGCGCCTGGACGCTTCAACTTGACCTGGGAGGAGCAGTAGAGGGTATGTGGTGAAAGGTCGCGGAAAGGCTCGAAAACTCCACTCTTCAAACCCAAAAAATGGTTCAAGACACGTCGGTGCTGGATGATTAGACAGAATCTCACAGGTGGAGTCTGTATCAGTAAATACATCCATGTAGATTAATTAGACTAGACTACAAATCAAAAGGTCAAAGAGTCGTTCCCGTACTGAGCAAGTGAGCGTATCCGAACACTCTGGCCGCATATGGTGATCTCACCCGACAATCCCTACAAGCTGACGACATGTTCTGCAAAAGCTTTGCCGGCCCGAGCAACTTATCTTCGGCAATAAACATCGCGGAGCGAGGCTGGTGAGATTACATGCTTTAAAGAGCATGGTACCGGTGCTGTACGGAATGCCTAAGCCCGTTGAGGCAGGAGCGAAACCATGTCCGACGCGCGAGCCCATTTCATTCGACAACCCCGCCAAAAGTCAAGATAGTGACCTCAACGCGCGTATAATGACAAGCTTTAACAAGCCTTTTCCAAGACTGCTTAAATACGCTAGGGTAAGTTGCTCTCACACTTTTCTCACTGCTCTTGCGCCATTTGTCCGCAGCTGTCAGCATGTTCACCAAGTCGGTAGTGACGCCTTTGTTGGCGCTTTCAAGTCTCGCCCTACAGGCTGCTGCTGTCTCTCAGAAGCAGTGGACCAAGAGGAGCGACCACTTGTACTTGCCGAAAGAGACTAGCGACTACAAGACCGCGACTGCTCCGAACAATGTCACTATTCGGTACAAGAACCCTGGTATCTGCGAGACTACTCCCGGCGTGGACAGCTACTCTGGATATGTCGATTTGACGCCTGATGTGTGTATCAAACTCACCCATACATACAAGCGCTCTTTCTAATGCGATATAGGTCCATGTGTTCTTCTGGTTCTTCGAATCTCGTAACGACCCAGCATCGGACCCGTTTACCTTGTGGTTGAACGGAGGTCCGGGATCTGACTCGCTGATCGGTTTATTCGAAGAGAACGGACCTTGCATGATCGATGACAACCTCACTGCGGTGTACAACCCGTACAGCTGGAACAATGTCTCGAACATGCTGTACATCTCGCAGCCTGTCGGAACTGGTTTCAGCTACCAGAAGCAAGGTGTCGGAAGCTTCAACTCATTCTCCGAGGACTTCCACTACAACTCTAGCGAATGGCCCGCTACTGGACGATGGCCTCTGCTCGAACCGCTAAACACTGGTACTATTGACACTACGGATCTTGCTGCCGTTGCTGTGTGGGTGAGTAGACATCTGATATGAAATGCTTGTGTCAGTGCTAATCTCATTCGATACACATAGCATGTCTTCCAAGCCCTCCTGGCCACCATCCCCAAGTTTGATGCCAAGCTTGGAGATCTAGATGCTGCGAGAGACTTCAACCTCTTCACCGAGTCGTACGGTGGTCACTATGGCCCAGCATTCTTCAGCTACTTCTACAACCAGAACCTGAAGATCGAGAATGGAAGCATGCCCGGATACCCACTCAACTTCAACTCGCTCGGCATAATCAACGGCATCATTGACGAGGCCATCCAAGCCGAGCACTATCCCGAGTTCGCTGTTAACAACACTTACGGCATCAAGGCGTATAACGACACCGTTTACTCGTACGCCAAGTTTGCGAACAACATGTACAACGGATGTCTCTACCAGATCGCCCTCTGTCGAGCCGCCGCAGAAGGCAACACCACCTACTACCACGCCGATGCAAAGATCACCGAAGCCGAGTTAACACCGGGTGAGATGCAGATCTGCAACGAAGCAGCAGACATGTGCCGTGACAACGTCGAATCCCCGTACTACTACTACTACTCAGGCCGCGGCGTCTACGACATCCGTCACACGTACGAGGACCCGACACCCCCCTCTAACTACGGCGATTACTTGAACCTTGCAGAAATTCAGGATGCTCTTGGCGTTACTCTCAACTACTCTGGTAGCAATGGCATCTACTATGCTTTCCAGAACACGGGAGACTTCATCTACCCCAACTTCAGGCTCGATCTGGAGTACTTGCTCAGCCAGGATGTGCGTGTTAGTTTGGCCTATGGCGATGCTGACTACATCTGTAAGTCCTTTGATACCCACCAGTCATTCGATTTTCTAACACGTTCAGGCAACTGGTTTGGTGGTGAAGCCATCAGTCTTGCAATGGAATACGCTCACAGCGACGAGTTCCGTGCCGCAGGTTACGCGCCTATGATGGTTGATGGTACGGAATACGGCGAGGTACGCCAGTATGGCAACTTTAGCTTTGCGCGCGTCTATGAGGCCGGTCACGAGATTCCTTACTACCAGCGTAAGTATTTTTGCTACCTCCATTCCAGACCGTTTGGTCAAACAATGGGCTTTGCTAATTAGACTCGTAGCTGTTGCCGCATTGGCGTACTTCAACCGTACGCTGTACCACTACGATATCGCGACTGGCGAGGAGAAGGTCACTGCCAATTTGACATCTTCTGGTCCTGCGAATGCAACTCACACGCAATCATTCGTGCCGATTACGTCGTCCATCATTCAGGCCTTCCCTTCGCCTATCTATCCTGCAACGACATCGGGGTACTAAGTAGTGCTGTCGTCACCGAGGTCAATGTAGCCTTGGTCTCCAGTGCGTTAGGCCTCACCAGAGTGGCGTACATGACGATCACGAATGAAAGGAATTTATCAATTTACTCTGCGTAGTATGCATGAAGACTAGTGATGCGTCCATGGCTTATTCCTAGTACCAAAGAATCTATCAGATCTTGCCCTTCCCCAGCTTATCCCCACCATTGAAGAAGAGACTTCACAAGGGTCGCTCGCCACGCTCATCAACGCTGCCTACAGATCTCAGCCTTGAACTCCTCATCATCTTTCCGCCATCCAATCCCAGCATCCTCACTACCAGGACCCTTCCAGAAAATGCTACCATCAGCATCATCGCGGATGGCCTCGATGATCCTGTCCTGGTGGTCGTCCTGCATCGTCGCCAACAGCGCCAGCTGCACCAACGACAAGTGCCTTCGTACATCGTAATCCGGGTCGTTCTCGTCGGGCTTGAACGTGTTGAGATCGATGCCGAAGTCCCCTCGTAGAATGCTTTGGTATGTGCGCTCGATCATGGCGTCTGTCACGGGTGCGTTTTTCGGTGTATAGGTACCTAGAGCTTCCTTCGGGAACTTGTCGGTTTGACCTGGTGGGGTGATCTTTGCGATGTCGATGGTCGAGTTACGTGAGGTGTCGATGGGAGGAGGTCGCCTCGTCTCTTTGGGGGTATAAGCGATCGAGAGTGGAAATTTGTCGAGGTCAGGAATGGTTCTTATCACATCAAACGTGACCGAGGGGATAGCTGATGAGGATTGGTCAGGAGCGGTTGGGGTTTCCTTCACATCAGACATGGTCGATGCGACAGCCGGTGAGGATTGGTCAGCAGGAGTGGGGTTTTCTTGCATTTCAGACATGGTCGTGGGATGGATAATGAGTTGTAGATCCTGACTGTAGTAAGTCATCAATGTGAGTTCCTGTGCCTGCTGATATGTAGTAAAGAAGTTTGCTGAAAACACAGAACATGATACACGTTTGTGCAAACGATGCGTGGAACAATTTGTCGAGGCCTCGCAATATTTAGGCATCGACGCCGAGTGTGGTTAGAGGCCTTTCGTAGCAAAACAAGTCACAGGGAATCGGAGCGGATAGACAAACAGAACTTCGATGTCAAGGTCGTCAAACAGCGTTTGCACCAGGATATGCCTGTACAGGCCTACATACGCCAGATGTGAACGCCAAACTCCATGCTAAATGTTGCAGATGCTTCGAAGGAACGTTTTCATTTCGACGTAGGGAGTGCGAACAGCTGGGGCTGCATATTGATCTTGCACAAGCGCGCAATACAGCCAGACAATTGCAGAAGGGTTTGTACGCCTTCAAGGATGCGCATGTGGGTGAAGCCAATTTCCTGATTGCTGTTAGCCTCTGTAAAAATCGCCCGTTGCAAATCCTCACCTTGATGAATTCCAGCTTTGCGTGCTCACTCAGCGTGTCAATCGTCTTTGTAACTTTGAACATTGTGCTAATGATGTCGTGACACGAGTATCCCAGATCCCACAGCTCTTTCAGTGATGTCAGAGCATCGTCGATACGCTGCTCATGGCACGCCTTGATCATGGCCTGCACCTTGATGGGATGCGGGCTGTCGACCACCCTAAACACATTATCGCCATTGACGAAACCGAAACCGGCAAATGTCGACTGTAGGTTGTTGATGGCTTGTCGCATATCTCCCTCCGCCGAGAAGACTAGTGCCGCGATTCCGTCATCTGAGTACTTCACGTCCTCGGCTTCGCAGATCTGCATGACGCGGCGCACGACTTGCGCATCGGTAAGGCGGGCGTATCGGAGGATGGCGCACCTCGATTGTAGCGGCTCGATGATCTTGTTCGACTGGTTGCAAGCGAATGCAAATCGAGTTGTTGCACTGTATATCTCCATTGTCCTCCTCAGAGCCTGTTGTGCACCACTGGTCATGCTGTCCGCTTCGTCGAGGATGACTAGCTTCTGCCTGCCCGGAGGAAGTGTGACTTTCTTCTGCGCAAAGCCCTTTATCCTGTTGCGTACAACGTCTATACCACGTTCGTCCGAGGCGTTGAGTTCGAGGACAGCCTCCTTGTAGGCATCACCGAGGAGTTGGCGTGCGAGACAGAGGATGGATGTGGTTTTGCCGATACCAGGCATACCGGAGATGATCATATGGGGCATGTTGCCATCTTTGGCAATGATCTTGAGGCGCTCAATGGTTTCGGTATTGCCAACGACATCATCGAGGTAGACGGGACGGTATTTCTCTACCCTGGGAGGATGTCAGTCTGAACCAGCTGGCGAAGGCCACGAGCGGTGAATTACCATGGCAGCTCGTAGTTTGCACCGCCGGCCGCATTGGGGTTGGGTTTGACGCCATTGCTGGCGGCGGCTTTGGAGGACTCGGCTTTTGACATTTTGGGCTGTGGTGGTTGACTTGGAGGGGTGACGCGAAACACGCGATGCTCTGCAAACGCGCTTTCACGGGTCATCCGTCTTGGGACTAGTGCTCACGTGAGCCGGGCACGATCGACGCGCAGCCGCGGCAGCGAAATATCATGCCCTTGGCGCTAAAGATAGATTCGTCCGACGCGACGTCACCTGCGTAGCACGATAGATCAGATCGGGATTTTTTCTCCAGATCACACACTGGCGTCGGTACGGATCGAGGCTATGTTCTTGCACATATTGTCCTGCACGCCTGTACAACGCATAGTACAAAATGATCCTCTCGGGGGATCTTCAGTTGGCATGCCAGATGGGCTTTCAGGTACCGACCGATGCTGCAGGTCCTGAGGTTTCAGCCCCAAACGTCTTTTTCGAGAGGCGCAGCCATCGAGCATCGGGCGCCTGAAGAAACCACCCGATCGCTCCGCAGTCGCTAACATACGGGCTATTTGCATTGCTTTAGTAGCTTGCGACATGGCGACGGCGTCAAGACACTGGGATCCTGGTGGTTGACAGGGTGACGTATGCGGCTGACGGAAGCGGTCCGCAACCTACCACGTCCACGCATGTCAGCGAGCTGTTGTGTAGAAGCAGCCCCAGACGTTTGCTGAGGAAGTTGTGAATGCTGAATGTCGTTGCAATGTTGGCCTTGTCGGTGCAGCCTTAGAGCGCGAACAAGGCGCAGGCGGACAGTGTAGCTTAGCTATCCTGCGGCGCAACCTTAGGTAACCTTAGCAAGCGCTATAAAAGCGCACTTTAGCTATTTTTACTTAGTATCTAAAATAGCTTAGTACTTTAGAATTTTTAGCTTATTTATTTTTAATACTATATTAGATTAAACTAAAATAGATCTAGATTTAAAATATATAAAACTAAAATTTCTATTCTTAATTTTAGTATATACTTAGTATAGTTTAATAAACTTAAGTTTTATTACTAATACTATAATAGTATAAAAGCTTTTTTTATTAGCTTAGCTATAAGTAACTTATATAAGAATAAAATTTAAACTATACTTAAAGACTACTTTAGTAATATAAATCTACTACTTTAGATTAAATATATAATAATTACTTTATAATAAATTATAGCGTAGCTTTAGTAAAACCTTAGACTATATATAGTTAAGTTTCTTAGCTAATATATAGTATACTTAATTACTATCTAGTTTAGTTATAAAGTATATCTAGTTTAATTTTATAAACTCTAGTTAGTTACTATTAACTTCTTACTAATTAATACTACTACTAGTAGTACTATTAACTATAATAAGCTTTTAAACTTATACTTAAATAAGTTACTAACTAAGTAACTTTTTCTCTTAAGTATATATATAATTTAAATATACTATAGCGTAGCTTATACTAAGCTTTTACTAATTTAATTTATTTTAGATAGATTATAGTTACTCTATTTAGCGTAGTTATATACTATTAGACTTATTTTATAATATATTTATAGTATTTTTTATATATATAGTATCTAGAAGAAACTTAGAAAAATCTCTAATAAAGTATATATAAGTAGATAGCGTTTAGAGTAGTTAAGAGTTTAGTATATACTTAGTTTAGTTATAGTTTATATCTTATACTAATAATAAGTAAAGTAATATTTAGTTTACTTATATAGTAGCTAAGCTACTAGTATAAACTCTTCTTATACTACTATAAAATATATATTACTAGCTAAATTTAGAGAAGTCTTCTAAAAATATATATATATATTACTTAGATTATACTAAGTTTATTTCTAACTTATAATAGCCTAAGTTTTTAAACATTAACGTTAATAGTAATTCTAGTAATTATTACTTAGATAATACTAAAATTAAACTTAATATACTAGTTAATATAAATAGTAAAGTAGAAGTTAAAGCTAATAATAACTTTATTATCTAGAATTAAAATAGTACTTAGACTACTTTTTTAGAAGTATTAGTACTCTTTTATATAACTATAGTACTAATATACTCTTATATCTTACTTACTAGCACTATATATATAGTAGAGTTACTATATATAAAAACCTAATATTAGACTCTCTTAGTAGTTAAGGTATAAAAGAATACTTAGTTTATTTTAGTATTTTACTAATACCTATAAAGTAATCTAGTATAGCTATAGCTAAGTTTAGAAAAAAAATATAAATAAGTTAAAGAATTCTAAGACTAATTATAGTATAAGAGTTTAAATTCTAAGTAATATTAAATACTATTACTATAAATATAAGTACTAAAGTATTAAATACTATAGCATGCTTAGTTCTTAGGTATAAAAGTTATTTTACTCTTATTATAGTAAGAGTATAGTTAATACTATATATAAGATTTATTTCTATAAAAATAGAAACTTTATATAGTAAAAGATCTATAAGTATATAGTAATTTAGATTCTACTAGATTTAGTCTAATAGTTATAGCTACTTTATAGCTATAATTAAAACTTTTTATCTTAGAACTTTATATAAAGAGTATAATACTAAGACTTATTAGTCTACTATCTAGTAGAATATAAATATTATTATAAGTTAAGAGCTATTTTATATCTTCTTTATACTATACTAATATAAAGACTTATCTAAGTATAAACTAACTTTATAAAATAATATTTAAAACTCTATAGTACTATATTATATATACTTATTAATATAACTCTAGTATTTAGTAAAGTAAGTATTTTAAAAGAAAGATTTCTTCTAAATATAACTTAGAGATACTTTTCTTAATATAATAATTTTAAGAAAATTATATATCTTTAGTAATAACTAAGTATTATATTATAAAGTAGAATAGAGTAAGAAAACCTACCTACTATACGTACGTATAAGAGCTATCTTAGTTAATACTTATATTAACTAAAGATTATCTACTTTACTAGTAAAGAACTAATTATTAACTTTCTAATATAATTTCTAGAACTAAGTTTATATCTAAATATTTTTTATATCTTTATTCTAGTTAAAATTAAAACTAATCTTATAATTATTATAGTATTCTATAATAACTATAACTATCTACTACCTCTACTATCTAAGCTTCTACTACTTATAGAGAAAAAGTTATATTAAATTATTTACACTATATAAAAAGGTAATTAAAATATAAGTATATATATACTATTAATTAAGTACTAACTAAGACTAATTCTAACTAGTAACTTTATTATAAAACTATTTTCTTTATAAACTACTTTAAAATAAAGGCTTAGTATTAGTAGCTAAGCTATACGCCTTTCTAAATAATCTTAATATACTCTAAGTACTCTATTATAAAAAGAATTTAACTATAATATATTATAATAATAGAATTAAAAGTATTAAAATATATTACTAAGTAGAGTATAGAAAGCTAGATAGAGTAAGTATAGAATAAAAGTAATTCTAGTATACTCTAGACTAACGTTACCTAGTATATTAAATACTTCTACTATAATAGAAATAACCTAGTTATTATTATATTTTTTTAGTCTTAACTTACTCTACTCTAAAATAGTTCTTAGCGCTAGTTCTCTATTAATATAAGTTTTAAGCGTATAGCTATAAAATCTATATAGAAGATTATCTTTACTACTTACTTAGAAAGTTTAGATAAACGTATATTATATAGTTTTTACTTAGACTAATCTAATATAGTACTATAGTTTATATAATTATGTAGGTATATATTAATAGAGACACTAAAAAGATATACTAGAAGGTATTTACTAGAGTATTCTAAGAATAGCGTATAGTAGAATACTCTATAAACTAGTATTACTAAAATAAAACTAGAATTTAAATTATTATTATAAATATATACACTAAGTAGCTTAGTAGTATATTACTATACTAGTAGAATATACTAAGATTACTTATATATTTATAGAATTTAGTAATTATCTTATATATACTACTTATAATAGTAGAGATTAGTAATAGTATATTATATATATTATTATATTTTGCGTAGTCTACTTTATAAAAGAGATTATAGAATTAACTTAGAGTATAAACTAAAATATAAAAAGCTTAAATAAAGCTATTAAGAATCTTATTAACTATAAGATATTAGAGAAATATAACTAATTTATTAAAAGTCTAATTAGTATATCTAGAATATACTAAGTCTATACTAGACTAATATTTTAGCTATATTCTCTAATAGTAAAATTAGCGTCTAGGTAAAGAATAAAAAAGATAAAGGTATATACGCTATAGGTCTATATCTTATAAAGTTTTTTATTAAGCCTAAAGTATAGTAAAATATCTAATATTAAGATAGTAATAATTTAAAGTAAAATTATTATAGAATAAACTTTATAAATAAAGCTATATCTTTAGTAAAAGCTATTAGTAAGTAAGTTACCTTAGAGTATACTTAATAGACACTATACTAATACTATATAGTATAGAAGTTATTAACTATAGTAATAGTAAAATATATAAGATTTATATAGTTTATAGTTTTAGATAGATATATAAAAATACTAGTCTAAAAGTATATCTAAAAACTACTCTAGATAAAGCTAAATATAAAAAGTATAATAAGTAGAATATTTAAGACTACTAAGCTAAGAATAGTCTAGAAGTAGTTTAGAGTAACGTACACTTATTATTATAAAGCTAATAGTATATTTCTTCTACTAGTATTCTGCGTAGCTTATCTAGAAGCTTATCTTAAAAGTTATTTTAGTTATTTATAAATTTATTAGCTAGTTTCTAAGGTTTAGTTTAGAGGTTAAGTAGTTAAGTATAAGAATATACTTAGACTACTCTATAGTTAGTATTAACTAACTAGTCTATAGTAGTTTAGAGGTTTAACTAATAATTAAGATAAATATATATACTTATACGTATAAAGTATATATATAAACTAGTTTTACTTTACTCTTACTATACTAATAAATATAGTTAATCTTAACTAGTAAGTTTTTTTTCTATAAAAAGCTTACTATCTATAAAAAGCTTACTACTTATTAGAAGCTTTCTACTT